CTGGCCGGCCACGCGTCCGTCCGGCTGGCCGGCCACGCGTCCGTCCGGCTGGCCGGCCACGCGTCCGTTCGGCTGGCCGGCCACGCGTCTGTCCTGCCGGCCACGCGTCCGTCCTGCCGGCCACGCGTCCGTCCTGCCGGCCACGCGTCCGTACCATATTTTCCAAAATGGATTTACTCTTTCGATCTGGCTCAACTCGAGGCGCTGCTTTCCTTAAATATTTGGGGTATTTAACGTGAAGCTGTAGGGTATTTTCACTTTTCCAAAAACGGTTTGAAAGTTTCCTTTTAATTTCTGGTGTGAGTAGAGTAATATACCCTATTGAAGATGCTATAGGTTCAATTTCTCAGATGTTTAATATTTTTAAATTGTTGAATTTGAATTGTTTCCGGAGGCTTCTGAAATTACAGGATTTAAGATTGACAGTTTTCTGCGAAGTAAATTTGTTGATTAGATATGGTTCTCTTATTGAGGTGATTCACATATTTTTTAAAAAAAAATCAGTAGTTTTAGCGCAATTTAGAGTAATATGTGCAATTAAAAAATATATCAAAAACAATATTTTATCACAAACGTCTCCAATTCTTTAAGTTTTTTGGTACGGACAGTACTAAATGTACTATGAGATGACAAACGCCATTTTGCTCTTTTGTTTTCTTTTTTTAAAAATAAAAAAATGTTTTTTTTGACTCTGCTCTCACTGGTGTCACGAACTCTCTAAGTCATTTTCAACCAAGTGTCGGGATACTTTCTGATCACAGAGTACCTCCTCGCTCGGTATATCGCTTCTCCCTCTCTCTCCCAACTTTGAGTAATAAATGATGCATTCATTTGATTATGGCTTCTTGGAGAAAGCATCTCTCCCCCTTCCTTTCAACTTTCACCTCTTACTAAATCAACCCCAGTACTTCAAGTGACACGTTGCTTAAGAATACGCTGAAGTTACAACTCCGAGAGTGGCACATCACATCTACATTACATAAAGCTTTATTAACTTCTTGTGAACGTTTTTGTCTAATCACTTAACATTTCACTGGTAACAATGATAACTCATTAAAAAGAAACAGTGATAACCGTTACATATATAATGTGTGCGTGTGTGAGTGCGTGTGTGTGTGCGCGCGCGTGCCTGCGTGTGCGTGTGTATACACACATACATACCCTCTTTTAGTTGTGTTGAAAGTACGTTGATTTGTGCCCTGTCCAGGCTGTTCCATGTTATTTTTATCGTTTTGTTGTTCCCCGTCTGTATTTTGAAATTTCAGGGAAGGGGAAAGATCCCCGGCAGGACCATGACGTTTTTGCTGCGGTTGCGCTGCTTCTG